AAGGGGTAGACTTTGTGTAAAACCAAAATTAATCTTCATATTTGTCATGATGATTACATTGTGCACTTTACAGATATACTGGTTCAAATGAATGCTAAAGATGTTAAGATAAGAACTTAAGCCTCCGGGAACTCATGCTGTGAAAGTGGACAGAGACTTTTAAGGCTGAAAAACTCACTCGATGGACTTGAAAACAATTAGGGTAGCAATCAACCTCAGTGACACTTGCAGTAGATCCTTTTAAAACAATGCGAACATGACATTTTTTAAGTCATGAGATATAAGACACCCCCAACTTTTTACACCTAAGTTTCTAGAAAATAATATTTGAAAAATTGTCTTGTGCAGAGTGGATATAGCTTGGTACAGTATTCTTCTGTATTTTCTTTTTAGGAACATAAATGCCTATTATGTAAGGTAAACCCTGCTTTCTTATTATTCCTTGCCTTACCTATATTTGTTAAAAATGATGGTCTTTTGGGAACAGTTCCCACCTCTGAGGGGGGTTGTCTGCTGGAGGAACTGTAGAATGTTAAAAATATATATCTCTGTGAGAATATAATCAGGTTGATTATTCATTGAGTAATGACAAAAAGACAAAGTACATGATTTGACAGAAATTGCTGCAATTTAAGTGGGTGGTTGTCTCCCTGAGTTGTCTGAGCCATGCACTGCAGGGCCAGGTGCAGTTCACAGTTTAAAAAGATCCATTACACGAGAACTGGCCTGCACTTAAATTAAGCTCAAACTTGACCAAATGGCCCTATTACATAATGGTATGATACTGCCAGGGGCCATTTTACATAGTTATTACTTTGACTTTTCAAACTTTATATCTTCTTTGCTTCTTTTACTTGAGAAAAAAATAAATGCAGGACTTTTACTTGTGTTCTGGATTATCTGGATGATTTCATAGTATTTTATTGTTACTTTTAATTCAGATGATGATCTGAATACTTCCTCTACTGTCCATCCTCTACAATCTGTGCATGTGTGTGTGCAGTTATGATCAGTTACATGACTTGAGATGGCAGGTAAAAGGTGAAAAGTTTAAAATGAGCCGTCTGATGATTTTGGGGGCCTTTTGAATAATTCTGCTTGATAAATTGCTTTTCTCACATGTCTCTGACAAACAGTCACATAAATCCACAGGTGTGGAAGCAGATACAGGATGTAGATACGTTTAGACTTGGATAGTAGGGTTCACATTTGAATTTTGTTGTTAAGTCTAAACTTCTCAATTTCAATATTTGTATTTATCTATAAAATCTATAAAAGAAAAATGTATACACCAACTAGCATGTTGAGAATAATTCATCTTGATGAAAAAAATCAGGCATGTTTTTGGAGACAGATATTTATAGGTGTGTGCAATCTGGTGCAGATCTTGATCTACTGAATAGAAATGCTGTTTTATAATGGGACTGTTGGGCCTTGTTCTCTGAGTGTCCTTCTAGTTGCATACTTAGCATTAGGTGGTGTTCTGGCTTACACACTGGGGTGAACCTAACTAATGCCCAAATTCAGCTTATTCCTATTCCTTCGGTCACTCCGCTTAAAAGTGCCATGTTGGGTACCCATGCATGAACTGGTCAAGTGCACAGTGTCACTCTCTATGTACAACAGCACGAAACACTGTACGTTGTGTAATGTGTGGTGTTTGTGTTAAGAGCATTAGCTTTAGGAGCTCCGCTCAGCAGGAGAAAGGTTAATTATCACATCCTGTTACACACAGACAGGACACCTCCTCCTGTTAAGCACACACAGACTCTGAACCACACAAACACGCAAACCATCAAACAAAACCCGCTTTTATCTGGCATATACAGATGAAATCTAGCATCTGTTTGTCCTCATTTCACTCATTGCTCTCAATCAAGTGCGTTTCTTTTCACTCTCCTCGCTCCTTCCGCTGCATGTCCCTCCTCCTCTGCCAGAAACCCATATTCCGACATGACGGGAGCGGTGCCACAAAAAATCATTCATGGCACCATTCATCAGGAAGAAACAAACTAATTCCCCTTGGATCACGTTTCTTCACTTTGATACTATGTATGAATTGGGCAGGTTTATCACGTCTCTTTAAAAGAGATGGGGCCCAATTCAAGAATGAAATGACAGATGAGTGGACGGTGGAGTTTGGCAAGCATAAAGCAGGGCGCCACAAAAAATGATTGCTGTTGTGTACTCAGGAAGAAACCAAACAACTTAGAGCAAAAAATTGAAATCGACAATTCAAAAGCCACGTCAAAAAAAGAAGTGTGATTTCCTTCTTTCTGTGTTTACTCACCTTCTTTTAGGTGTCTCTTATCCTTCTATATTTGTACACATCTCCCCTCTACATGTGTTGTTTCCTATCCACCTCTTATCTGTCTCTCTCTCTCCATCCTTATTTCATTACCAGTCTAGACAGCTCCAGCAGCAGGTGCTGGGAGAGGTGGAGAAAATACGGTGAGAGGAAGGGAGGAAAGGAGCCAAGGGGATAAGGAAGATGGAGTTAAAACAGGGAGAGATTAATAGATCAAGTGGAGAGGTATATGATGAAAGTTAAGAGGAGTATGGAGAGGAAAGGGATGGGGGTGAGGTTAAGGTGGGATTTGGAGTAGAGAGGAAGGAGGGGAAGGAAAAGATTTTCCAGTGAATCAGGTAAGTTCTATTTGAAGGGAAGAGGTGCAGAAGAGGCTATTTTAATGCAAGGTTGAAAAATGAGAGGAAGGCAATGGGAAATGTGGAGAAGAGGAATGAAAAGGAAGTGTGGAGGGAAGGAGGCAATCGGGGGAATGAGAGGGAGAAAAAATCCTACCAAAAGGTCGGGGCTATGTGAGAAAGAGGAGGGAGCACAAGGATGGATGGATATATGGATAGAGGACAGGTAGGAGAGAGGACAGGAGCAGTGTTGTTGTGGTTTT